AGTCTTACTTCAAACGAATAACAGTTGATATAACGTGGCTTGGGTTAGCGTAATTATTGGACTCCATTCAGATTGTTTAACATTTTAACTGAATTTACGCTCTTTCAATGCGAATAAAGCAGTGTATTATATCAAGAAGATGTCTGTTTGGGAATCCCAGTCGAAAGAAGCCCGATTTCGGTAAATGTATTCACTCCCATATCACAATAAATCACCGAAATTAGGCTTGCCACACACCACTCCACAGACTGTGTTTATGAATTTCCCAAAAATTTTATTTCTTGAAACTCAACTATGGTTATTCGTCTTTCCTCATATGCAGTGGCTTTGGGCTAGGACATATACCAGTGGAGATACAGAGGTTTATGTAGAATACACTTGAAAACTACTAAAATCATGAAGGACAATTAAAAAATCGATAAAATATTCATTTTTAACTTTCTGAGTTCACAAACAGCTGTAAATAGTTGCTTATTTATGTACTTTTCATCTTGCTAATTTATTTGATAAAATACGATCTCAATTTTGTGATTTTTCACTTTTTCTGAGGTGCACTAAATCGACCTTCGAAAACCGGAAGTGACGTAATTTTTCACATTTTGACCCCGTGCTCCCTAAATGTTTATCTGATCGAGATAAAACTCATACCATTGCATTCAGCTTCAAAAGCCGGTTCTACATGCACGTTTTGAGGGATTTGATAAATAATTATTTTGCAAGTCATAGGTGACCCTACGGGAAAATCCCTCTTAACTTGTGGCATGAGGACCATTTGCGGACAGTACACTATGTGACTGACTTGCGTCAAGGCATATTTAAAAATCATTATTGTTGATTATTGTTTCGCCGGTAAATGTACGCTCGCGAAGAACATGACTAACTTTCTATATCATTAAGTAATAAAGGATGGATTGCCGTGCGTTTCTTGGTGAAATAAACCACTTGGGAATGTTAGGGAAAAAAATCAAAGGCGACAAAATTAACGCTCGTAACTATTTAGTCCTTTTTCTGTTTCCCAAAATCCCTGCTTGCTTTGTTTCGGCCGCAGTCAATCTAAAATAAAAGGTAATTGGCTGATACCAAGGATGTTTAGTATGACAAACTAAAGCAAAAAAATACCACAGTCGAATAAAATGACAACAACAGTAACGACGGAAAACCCTTGTGTAAATAGTACATAGTGGAATTTCCAGGACTAGTGCACATTTCTAAATTATGGAAATATTTTTGTTATCTCGTAAAATCTCTTTAAATCTAGATCTTACACGATTAACATACCATGGAATCGAAATACTCTCCAGAAAATCACCGGAGTCTGTGACAGGCCGAGCACATGAACAAACGTCGGGTCCAGGTTGGCGTCCATTTTGATGCTTTTGAGTGGCTTTTTATATTGAATGGCAAATGGTATTCAATCCTTCCAAATGTAAGACCATCTGTATTTCCAACAAAAAGGCTCCACCACAGAGGAAATATGAGTTCTGTGGGGTATACTTGGAACAGGTCCAATCAATTAATTATTTAGGAGTCATTCTAAATGATGATTTAAAGTGGTCAAATCACGTCAAATCGATCTCTGGTAAAGCAAGTAAGGTCATGGGTATGGTTAAAGAAACTTTTGGAATTGTCCCCAAAAAGTAAAAGTAACTGCATATACATCTATAGTGCGTCCCATGCTGGAATACGCAAGTGCCGCCTGGGACCCCCACCTCCAGAAGGACATTGCCTCCCTCGAGAAAGTTCAGAGGAAAGCTGCACGATTCTGTCTCAGTAATTATACTCCTACTGCGAGCGTCAATGAAATGTTACGCGAACTATAGTGGTCCACCTTGTAGGGCTGTCCACAAGCTGCTCCAAAAAGTTGCCCTAAAAAGATGTGAACACTTATCTCCGCCCACACACAGAANTTAGAACAGAGCACTAGATAACTAGCCGTAAAAAAATTATAGGTATAATTACTCATCATTGTCATCATTACTATTATTAATWATTATATAACATCGTAGACTGATGGTGTTTAGTAGTGATGCAATTAAAAATACTATTACTAACCTGATCAAATGATAAAGTGAGAAAAAATAGCAGCTCAACGATCAATGATCAATGGTCACAAATACAAACTTACTTGCATTAGTTTTTACTTACAAAGCTCAATTTATATCCTGAAATTTAGGCTGATTCTATTTAAAATATCTGCATTCTATTACAACAGGAGCAATCGAAGTTTCCATAGCAACAATGGCCAAAATCGACCGGTTACAAACAGAGGAGGTTTATACAGTTGGGTTTGTGCCTTYGTATGATCTGCCAGATAGCRGRCCCAACAGCATTGATCCATKTTTAGAGCCACTTATTAGAGACCTTGAAAATGGATTTATTGAAGGTACGGTGTAAACAATAAGTGCATTTAATATCAGTTGAATTTCCTATAATGCACTTTTAGCTGCTGGACAACACTTTTTTTAGTTTTTTGTTATGGAAAACTTTAAAAACAATTATACAAACACTAATTTATTATTTTATGTGTTTTCAAAAGTGTTTGAAAACTGTTAATACAGTGCTTGATTTTTTTTCTCAGGATACAAAGTAAAATACTGTGGAACCCTTCTAAAAAGCCTATTGATATTACCATTCGTCATTTATTRCTTGTTTGGACTGGTGACCATCCAGCTCAATGTGAGGTGTGCAAGACAAAAGGTGCAGGAGGAAGGAAGGCTTGTCGTAGGTGYCACATCTRTGGTAAGTTTTTAAATGTTCTTCTCAACTTACCTAGCTGTTATCATGCATGATTTTAAGATTCAGACTGTATTTGATTCAGATTGTATTATTCTTATTGTGTTCATCATGTACTATTACAATATTAAGAAACAGAGAAGACAATRATAATAATATTGACATTATTGTAATTCATGGCAATGCTGAATGTATTATAATAATAAAGGCTGAATTACTTTTAATGAACTTTTGTTYAATAGATAGTTCTTAATATTATATATATAATGTGTTCAGGTATATGGGTTCAAGAAAAAAGTCACAACTACTATCCAGAGTTCAGAAAACAACACAGGTATCCCAATCAAGCAAGGAATCTTCAGGATGAGTTACCAACAATGAGAGATATTGATGAAGAGGAAAGACCAACATATTTCACAAGAAAAAGTAAAGAGCAAGGATTTTTGGGCTTATCCATTTTTTATCGTTTGTTTCCCCTCTATCGGTTCAACTTTTTAACTGATGCCGTGTTTGATGTCATGCATCTTCTTCCTCTCAATGTTGTCAAGAATCATATAGAGCGGTTGATRGCCAGTGAAAGCTGTGATCGCAAGTCTCTTCAAGAAAATCTTTCTAAAATGCCATGGACAACAGATTATTGTGCTTCTCGTTTGCCAAGAGATATAAAGTCTATTGGATCATGGAAAGGTAATTTGTATGGAAAAATCATTTGATTTGCAAATAACAGTGAAATAATTTTTAATCATCACAAATGTGAACTAATTTGCAAAGCTTTGATTACAATGCCTTTAAAACTACTGCTACAGCATGCAAGCTCGATTACTATTGATTTCAYTCATAGATAGCCCAAAACAAAGATGAAAGAAAAAGTTCTTGTATGATATTTCCTGTTTATGATGAGACTCAAATTTTTCCCAACCATGTGTTGCAGGTGCACATTACTCTGTGTTTATGACATTTCAAGGAAATTCTACTGTARTGATATAAGCTACTTTAATGCACGTGATATTTTTTATATTTTCTTCACATACAGTGGAAGTAAAAATAGTTATTCTATTGTTTGTAGCTGAAGAATTTCAAAAGCTAGCCTTCCCTGCCTCWGAGTTTGTGTTACATGGACTACTGGAAGAAGATGAGTACAATGTGTGGGCACCAGTTCCAAGAATGATTGAGCTTGTTTTTAATTGTGGACGAAATGGCTGGACTACCAACATGCTAGATAACTTTAGAAAACTGGTCTGGAGGTACTGCATTCTGTATGAAGAAATGAATGGAACTGGTGCCTGTGTCATAAATCTTCATAACCTCACACATTTACCTGATGATATTCAGAGATTTTCTTCACCAGATAATTATTGGTGCTTCGATTTTGAGAGAGCTGTAAAACGTTATGTACGCCAATCCAGCAATAGAAAGTACATTGAGAAGTCATTTGCGAGAAGAGAATCACAGAGAGAATTTCTGAGATTCTCAGAAGAAACCCAAGGAGTCCAGCGTTCAAGACAAAAAAGAAACTTCAGTGCAGACAAAGAAAAGGTTTGTATACAATAATTATTTCTTGGTATGATTGGTCATGTAGTGATTTTAGACAATGGAAAGCAAAAGCTGTTATTCATAGTACATGTATTTCATAATACACATTTGTCTTTTCATTTACCACGAAGGAATATTGTTTTGTTTAAGCAAAAAGGCACTGTCTTTAGAGCAAACTGGCACTAACAAAGCATACAATAGCACTACACTGCAAAAACGGTATTTTTTGAAAAGAGTAAAGTCAACTCATTTTTTGAGTAAGCTCTTGATTTTACTCAGTATTTTGAGTTAATTTACTCAAATCTATTTGACTGAGTATTTCATTGATAGAATGAGTAAAGCTACTCAAAATATTGAGTAAAATTCTGAAGTGAGTAAAACTACTCTATTTTTCGAGTAAACGTGCTCATTCCCTTACTCTACTATGCTACACCTCTGATAGATCAGCTTGGTGTACATTCGCATTGGTGCTAAGGAAACCACAAAAGCCCATGTAAAAATATAAAAGACTCATGTCTGCATTGTTTTAATATCTAAAAAATTGATTATCTTAATACACCTCATAATTCTAATAATACCAATATTGCAATAGTTAAAAGTATTTAAAAAATGGCATAAAATATAATATAAATATAAAGTGGATATAAATATAAATCATGCAATGTTAAATATCCAAAAATTGTGAAGAACTTTAAATATTTATAAATGAATAATCAGTAAAACTCCCAATTCTCTTTTGTATTTTAGTCATTAAGCTAGCTTTCTATACAGTATATTATTATTAAATCATACAATCAAGCTGATATTTCAAAACTACAAATAATTTGTTCCTATAACAACTGTATCCTTTGACCAGACCAAGAGGATAACAATCAAAAAGGTCAACCTGTTTAACATACCCCTTCCCATTTTGACACCTTTCTATAGAGTATGCATTAAGGTGACTAACAAATTCAACAACATTTATTTTAATGTATTCGAAGCAAACTTTGTGGCCGTCAGCAATGAAAACCTGTTTAATCTCCCCAAAAACAGGAAAGCCATGATGTAGTTTAATAACGATGACACTGCCAGGCATATACTTTGTTCCATATACTTTGGCCCATGATGCCTTCGTTAATCTACTGTTTCCTGTTATATTGCAATCCATATCTTGCATTTCATTTTGAAGACCAGCCTCAGTAACAGTTGTTGTACTTCCTTGTAAGAAGAACAAAATGCAATGTGTCTTTTTTTTTCTTTTTTAATGAAATATGGTATAGAATATAATTACTATTTGTTTAATCTTTTTTTTTTGCACAGAAAAAAGAAAGTCAAAAAATTAAATAGGAGTCATCGATGATTTTTAAGTATAAGGAAAGGATTATTTAAAAGTAATTTTTACCTGGTCCAACTTCTAATGACAATCTTAAAAAATTACCATTAGAACTCTGCAACATATAGGCCTGTAAAGCTTGGTGTCGCCAAGTTAGTGAATAGGTAATATTCTTGAAGTTATTAATCCTATCCACTAGCCTTTTAAAATAATTGTGCTTAGCTTCAAATCGCATAGCCCAGTTTCTCACAAGTGGACCTTTTCTGGAATGAAATAAAAACATAAAATGAGTAATATTCCCAAAAATGCAAAATTCCTGAAATTTCAAACGTCCAAGGGAACAATAGTACCTTATGATTTGCTTTGGGTAATGTACCATATAGTGTTGCTTTGGGATAGGGTTTCTGTCATACAGCACCACAAAATCACTTAAGTACTCTTCAATTAAAACACGAAGATAGGCAGCAAGCTGTGGTGTTGCTGTTGGAGCAAATACCATCTCCTCTATTCTTAGCAAATGTAAGAAATTTTCCCAGTGTTCATTGTCTTGTGGCACATAGTCACCAATCATGAGTGGAAGCATCCTTGCAAGGCACCACATTCGAGCAGCTGTGAAAGCAAAATAAACACAAAAGTTTTTAGATAAGTATACAATCTTATTTCACATGAATTTTTGAAAGTCTCTTTACTTGTAAATCTAATATTTTTTTTAGTACCATGTAAATGGAGCTTACCTGATTGGSAAATCTTTATTGATTGCTTTATTGGGCTGGGTTTATTGCATGCATCAGATTGTGGATAAGAGAAATTTGCAATTCTTTCATTCAAGTCTCCAAGCGTGAAATATTTCTCTTCTTCAATGAATTTCTTCAGGAGTAATGTCACTTCAAGTGGCAAAACCCCTTCAAGTTGGTCGTGCATGACATCTAAGACAAGACCATCCAAAGTATGGAAGTACTTTGACTGATTTAAAATACTTTTTCTCTTAACTCCATAAGTAGTAGCCAATGAAGGATCATTTTGAACCAAGTGGCAATGYCTCTCATGGCCTTGTATGGTTCGAAGCTGGAAATCTTCTTCAACAAACTGMAATAAAATATTCAAATATTTCCATGTAGTACCATCATTTCATTATCTGTTTTCCATGATGATAATGATAACAAAAACAACAACAGCAACTCAATGATGATGATAATAAATTAATAAAGCCAAATATCACATTAGCTGACAACCTATTTTGTAGATAAAATAGTTGCTCTTTTGCTCACATTGATGTTTTGATCATAAAACAGAAGATTACATAGTTATACGCTGCTTTATGAAAGTGTTTTAAAATGTTTTAATGAGTAAACACACCCTAAAAAGGCCTGCATGTACAGTATATGATAAGATTCTATGTCTTTTGGACTTAATGCAGGAGTGGCACAGTATACATGTAATCATAGTCATGAAAAAGAGCTATTATACCATAAATATATATGCAGACAAAAATCAATGTTTTCTCTTTAGTCACCTTAGTTTTTATGTCCTCTTTCGTTGCCATGCAAATTCTGCAAATCCTTAGAGCGCTGAAACACTCTTGCAAACCACCAAGGGAATGTGCCCCAAGATTATCACTTGAAAATGGGCCAATTGAGCCTTGAAACATTCTCTCCTGTCCATCAATCTTGAATGTCACACTATTGTCCTAAAATGTTTTAGAACTACAACTTGATTCATATTTTATAGTAGCTTTATTATAAACATATGGTTTTAATGTTTTTTAAAAAAAACATGTACTACATGTAGGGCTTGACCAAAATTTACCTACTTCAACAACATTGTATTGTGTTAAACACAATAAGGCAGTTAATTATATGCAATATTATAAAATTGCACTTACACTTTCAAGGCGATGAATATCTTGCATAAATGGCTGCAAAATCCTATCAATACCATACTTGACTATTAGAGGAACTTTACAAAGTGCAATTAATTGGATACTTCTGATAACTGATCTGTACCGTGGGTGCAAGTTTCCAAGGATAAAGTAAAAAGCTCCTGGTATAAAATAATTAACAATAATTGAAATCAAATAATTGGCATGCAATCACATACAGCACTGGATAACACTAACCACAACATTAAACAGCAGTCAGCTTCTGATTGGACAAAATACTATTTCTATATAAGAATTAATATTTAAATTATCTTCCTTTCCATTTACAGGGTTCCCACTTATCTTTAAAAGTAAAATTCCCTGACTTTTTCCTGACTTTTCCCTGACCTAAAACCATTTTTCAATGACCAGGTGACATGATTATCTTTAGTCCTTTTATTGAACAATGCAAAGGCTGACTTTTCTCTGACTTTTTGATAAATTGTATATTTCCCTTACCAAAATCAAAATTCCCTGACCTTGAAGAAATTTTAAATTTCACTGACTTTTCCCTGACCCTGGGAACCCTGATTTAATCAAAATAGTATACATACCAATTTTATGTTTCTTTGTCTTTGAACCAAGGGGATTCGTAACTTCAAAGTCGTCGTAATAACAATGCAGAATAAGAGTTTGGTGGTTTGCACCAAAGAGAGGATGTGCTTTGCAATCATCACCATCACAATAATCTTTTAAGGTTCCATCCGTGCTTGCATGGCCATTCATAACCTATTTTAATATTTGGTTTGCATTAAATACTTGACGTTTTAATAAGTGACTTGCATTTAGTGTTTAAAATGTATCTATATAATATAGATATATTTTAATTTAAAATAAAGTATAATGAAGCTAGTGCTTGAACTTAAAACTATAACACTTGTACCATTTGGAAGAAATATATTAACTTTGGTGGAGAGCTTACCTCACTGAAGACATCTGGCTGATTAAGCAGACTCTCAATTGTTTTTAATATTGGAATGTAGTGGAAAGTTTCTTTCACAAGAAATAATTTTTGCTTGCCTCGCTGAAATCGATATTCTGCATACTGACTCAGGATTACTTCTTCTGGTTCCTATTGCAACACAAAATAAACTCAGTATAATCTCAAAGTACTGGTATTTCTTAAATTACATGTTAACACAACAGAAACATACTGAAGTTAAATAGAAATTTAACTTTATTAACAAAGGCAAGCACAATTAAAAACTTTGGAAAATATTCTGGAGAAACTATAGTGATCTTTTGCTCACTCATTGCCCAAAGAAATGATAAAATGTAGCCTGACAACTAAGGACTTGACATTTACCGTAAATACAAAAGAATATTATAAAAAAGGAGGCAATAGGAAACAATAGATAATTCTTCCTCATCTTCAATCACTTAATAAGTGCACAACAATTACATGCAGATAAATTTCATTTTTTTTATATATATAATTGGCAAACCTACCACAAAGCTAAAGTTCTCAGCAAAATACTTAAGCTGTAAATAGCTGTTTTTTAAACGCTCTTGTGCTTGAGAGTAGACACTTGGACCTTCAAATACTTCGTTTAGACCCTCCATAGTTCCTATATCAACGCCATTGTTTTCTAGACAACTCACAATTTTTTCTTTCAAAATCTGTAAACTCTTGTCTACTAAATCTCCCGTGTTTTCCAGAATTGCACTTATGGTTTGCTGGCTAAGTTGGTTTTCCTCTTTTGTCTTCAAAATGAACAAAGCAAGGAATCGGGTGATATCATCGACACAATCTTTTTCATCTGCGTTGTCCTGTTGGTCAAAGGCATCACAATCGTCTTGATTTCCATTAGTAACGTCATCATCTTGATCAGATAGCACTAAACCTTGTCTGTCTTTCTTGAGCTGTTCCCTTTGAATATGTGATTTGAAGGAATTGAATTTTTTAAAAGACTGTCCACAGTCACCGCATGCTATAGTAAAATTGGGTTCATGGCTATGAACGAATTTAATGTGGTTGAGTAACTTTTTGAACGTTCTACCAAAGAAATCAGTGCAATATGAGCAAGGGTACATATCGCCGATGCTCTACACGATCTTACTTTACTCGCATTTTATAGCAGTCTTGGGAAGCCACAACGAGTAGAACGCAAGATGCCGGCAAGTCCTTTTAAACTTTTAAACCACACAGGTAGCCCAGATATTTCCTAGTTCTAAAGCTGATAAACTGCACAATTAAGCACATAAAACCGTAAAACATCGCGAGAAACAAAGCATAGTCTCTCACTTGAATTCTTACAAGTTTTATGCTGTTTACTAATGATAATTTTACACTAACTTTAATGAATATATTCACTTTAAAAGCGGGCTCCCTATGTTTGTAGACGCCCGCCAAATATGAGCCTCGGTATGGTCACATGATTATTTACGCCAATGAACGAAAAGAAAAAGCGCGCGAATAGAAATATTTGGCACATTAGTGACAACTGCCTCTTTCGTTGTGGTTTCGTCGTTGCAAGCACGTAGAATCTTAACAAGTACGATCTCGATCTTAAAAATCATTCTAAATGATGATGTCTGTTGAAGAAGTTGCTAAATGGTTGTGCAAAAATGGCTTCGCTGAGTTTTCAACAACTTTCAAAGGTAAGAAAGAATGAATTGCTAATTCTGATTCAAAGATAACCGAACTGCGCGCCCGCCAACTTGCTCCTAATCTTCTAACGTTGAATTGCCAATAAATCGGTATGGTTTAAGGCCCTCATAGCTTAGATCAACTAACAAGACAATCGATGTTTCATTGTAAGACCGAATTATGTCAATCCATCTAAGAAATGTGCTAGAAAATGAGCAGTTTTGAACTATGAAGCCTCGGAGCACATGGCATGTGGCGTCTTGTTTGTTCAAAGAAAGCATCGCCAGAACCATCCAAAAATTGCTTATTTCATTTCATATTCAGTGAAGTTACATGTTTTTAAGATAATGGATTTTGAAGTGAGCCATCTTTTCAAGATTTAGAGAAGAAAAATTGCTAAAAACAAATTTCAATGAAACACTATACGGAAGGCGGTTTTCGGTTTTCAATAAAATGCTTTTGGTTGAAAGAATGATAATAATGACAATTGTTTAAATTTAGCCTGTCAATCCCAGCCCAAAAGATGTCATTTTACACTAGTCTATGCACAGTAACCCAGGGTACTGGGTATTGGTATAAGGAAAGGCACAAGACAAACAAAATGGACAAGATTTCTGTTCTACTTCAAATCTAACCTATAAGCGTTGAACATATATAGATCGGTGAAACTCGTTATTTTTAGCAATTTCAGTTCACATTTCAATCATCAACAGTTTCTGACTTGATACAAACTATAATGATAAATACCAGCTTTCACACTAAATGCTTTGGGTTGCGATTGCTTTGTAGAAAACAAGGTTGATGGAGAAGCTCTCAGTTATATGACTGAACGAGGATTAGAATCTCTAATACCACAAGTTGGCTGCAGAATGAGGTTTTTGAAGCTTCTGGATAAGTTTAAAAAAGGAGAATTAAATGTAACCATGGATGCCAATGAGACACAGGGTGAGATGTCAGAGTCAGAAGAGCTAGAAGTTAGAGAAAATAGCTCTCAAAGGTTTGCATAATTTATATTTCATGCCATTGATGTTAAACTTTTACCACCTTAACAACACCTTAATTGACCTGTAGTGGCATACTTTTCAGGAAAAACCATGCAGAGAATGGAGAGTGTAATTCAACTAGTGGTGCTAATGAGACACCTGCTGAGATGGCAGAGCCAGAAGAGCTTGTAGAAGTTGGAGAAAAAACCCCTCAAAGGTTTGCATCATATAGAGGATATTACATGGGCGCGGGGAGATATGGATTTTATCTTCAAGTGTTTGATTGAGTTTATTATATAAACTCAAATTTATATCTTTCAAGCAAGAAATGGATAATCTGTACAGAGTATCCATGGTAATGTGTTGTTTTCACATGTGAAAGATATCCTTCTATGCACAAGAGATTTCCTGATATTTCATTGAAGTAATTATATAATAAAAGCTTATTTTCATATACATTCTATTCTAATCAAATTATTTTAAAAGTACAATATATACATGTAGTCTAGAATCAAATTGTAGTTGAAATCGTAATTATGGAACGCAAAAACTTATCATGAATATCATGCTTAAAAGCTAGTTCACAATTGTAGGTTTTTAATTGTAAACTCTATATTACTTAAGACCAAAATGTATAGGTGTAGAAATTTTTTGGTATAATTGCTTCTTCGCATCTGTGCAATATGTGATTTTCCAGATTTTTAAGCCTTTGATCAATTGAATGGTGCTAATAAACAGCTGTTGTGTAAGGTAGTTCTACTGCCTTTTACCAACAATTCACTCAAGTGCATAACGTAATTGTATTCGCTTGTAAGTGATATCTATTCTTTTGATCTTAAGGTAATGGGTGTAAATTCATTAAGTATCAATTTTTTGGTTACTATGTAAGGTGTTAGTACGCCTTTAACTAGTATCTCTTTTGAGTGTTAACTTCGATGCTCATTAAAGAGAACACAAATGAATTTATACTGATGCAAATTTCAGAAAAAAGAAAAGACATTCAGTGACCTGTAGGAGAAAGCAAAGATTGGCAAGGAATAAAAGAAAAAGGGATGAAAGAAAAATGGCCAAACAGGGTCTAGTTTCTTTAATCAATGAGTTGAAGAAAGAAAATCAGTCTTTGAATGACACTATACAAATAGAAAAAAAGACAAAGGAAAAGTACTTTGACATGTGGAGGGGATCAGAAAAGGAGAAGGAAAAGTTAAAAACTTCCAAATCAGTGTTCCTTAGGGGAAAAGGTTTGAATCAGGAAGGCATGGCAAAAGAAAAAAACATCCCTTCAGGAATATTGAACATAGACTCTAGCATGCTTGAGGATATTACGCACAATAAAACAGTAGGAAGTGGTAGATTTGGTACTGTCTGTTTGAAGCAGTTTAGATCTCTGCCTGTAGCTGTTAAGTATTTAGAATCATCTAGCAAATCAGAAGTTGAATGCGAAGCATTATTTTTGAGAAAGTGTTGCCACATAAACTTACCCCTTATATTTGGTATTAATGTAACTGAAAGACCGTATTTTATAGTTACAGAATTTTATGGTTGTAAGGCTTTAAGATCTTTCACTCTTAGGGATATTATACATAACCGTGCAGAGTTTATAGGTGATAGCCCAGAGCACTGGCTGCATATAAGTTCTCAAATTACTGATGGTGTGTGTTATTTGCACAAAAATGATATTCTGCATAATGATATAAAGACAGATAATGTAGTAGCTTCAGTTTCATCTGATAATGTAATTACACAGTCCTATACTTGTTGATTTTGGAAAAGCCACATCAGTATCTAAGGGGAAAAAGAAAATTCTCTCAAATGAAGAGAAAGGTCTGTATTACAAACAACATGTGCATATTGCGCCTGAGGTGATTGAAGGGCTACATCCTCAGACAATCAAGAGTGATGTATACTCAGTAGGAATTATATTTGCAAGCATTTATAGGTATACTCATTATAAACCCATCAAAGAATTAGCAAAACGTAGTTTGATGCCCTATCCTACCCGATGTACTTCATCGGAACTTTATACCATAACATTAAATTTAGGTAAAGTATAATACATATGCAGTTATACTGTCATAAAGTTAATGAACTGCTGATTAAGTGTAAAGCAGTTTCCTTCCAGATCAACCATGGACAGAATTGTATTTTATGTGTTTTGGAAATTTAGGTTTATTGGTGTGGAAAATTAGTTTTTGAAGTTTTAACTTAGGGAATCTGTACGAACCCTGTGATGTGCAGTAAAGAGTACTGCAGTTGAATCTCCACTTTGGGGCATTCTCAAAAGTCAGTCAGCTAACCAACTTTTTGTATACAAACACTTTTTTCACACTTTTTCATAGGCAGACAGCTCTACTTAACAAAGCCTTTTTCTGCATCCCAAGGGTGTCCACTTAAAAGGGACTGATTCCACTGTAGCTTTAAGTGTGAATGAAACACTGATCAAATCATACATGAACCATAAAGTATTAGCATGATTTAAAGCAGTCAAAGTTGTTCAAAAAGGAAACTGTAATTTATTGTGACATTAATAAAATTAGCAGTACATCTTTGGTCAGTTTTCCATTTATCCAAATTATCTTATGTATTATAAAAAGAACGTATGTTCTTATATCAACATTGTTTTCAATAAAACAGAAGAGTAGAAATGCATGACAGCTTCTTATATATCCATAAGTGGATTTATAGCTGATTAGTCATAAGACTAATTCATGAGAATATCTATAAGATTAGTGCATATTATATTGTAATATGTAGGTCATTCAAAAGTATTGTCAATTGTTATGATTGATAAAATTTGTGGTAGGCTTTTAAATTTATTATCTTGATCATAATATAATGTAGAAATCAAACTCTGCATTTTAGTTTTTGAATTCCTAGGAATATGTGTTGAAGTTATATGAGATGTAGGTAATAATTGTATAAACAGGTTTGTTTTCTTCCTTCCATATTGTTTAGTAAAAAGACCCAATCTGGTGCACTCCCAGTGTCCCCTGATGCCACAGTTGTGCTTAATGCCAGATTGCCATGGCCTGCAGTTTTACAACTGCCTACAAATTACAGACCCGAAGTCGCTAAAGTTCTGTTATCATCAGATAGGACTTTAGTGACAAAAAAATTCAGGAGGTCCTTTATCACCAGCCTCTTCGACCACTTTTCCAGATACACTTTGTGAGTACACACAATTTAGAGTTATAGAACATTTTACAGACTCTGACCTGTTCCACTAGACATATTAACAGTTTTACACTTAACAACTGTCATATATTCTCAAGTTTTCTGTCAATTGATATAGCTCCTAATTATTTGTAACCATAGATACCCATCCAAACACCAGTTAACAGAGATTTCTGAACTTGTCATCAGAAAGTATCCTATGTTAAAGGACCAAGCTATTGGTACTGGATATGTAAGTATCGTAAGTAATATATAAAATATAAGCGGGAGATCTTTATGGGCATAAAAAACTGCGAGCTGCAATTTTGCCATAAATGGATTTCTTAATGGAAAGTCCAATTTAAAAAAATAAATAAATAACAAGAAATTTCTGTTTTTGTAAATTTTCCTGATATGGTTACAATGCAACTACCAAAACAGGATCACTACCCAATCATATTGCAGATTCCAGTTCTAATTAATTTTAATTAAAAATAGTAATTGGATTGATAAATTCTATCTTKGCCAGGTTTTGTGTTTCCTGATTGGCMGGTTGCACTGGTTTTGGTAGTTTTTCTSTAATCGAAGAATAACTAAGTAGAAAAWTTTWAWWWTYMWT